TTTTACAAGTAGAGCTAGCATATTAGATCTAAAAACTCTTCCCTGGCCAGTGTGGCTCAGTTGTTGGGCATTGACCCATGCATCAAAAGGTCGCCAGTTCGATTCCCGGTCAGGGCACATGCCCAGGTTGTGGGGCTGATCCCCAGTGGGGGGCATGTAGGAGGTGGCCAGTTGATGTTCTCTCTCGCTGATGTTTCTCTCTCTCTCCCTCTCCCTATCTCTCTAAAATCAATAAAAAAACTTTTTAAATAAATTAAAAACTCATTGCTCCTATACATGACTAACTTAAAAAACATTTTATATAAGGTACTGATAACATGTGGAGAATATTTTTCTAATGAAATAAGATGATGGGATAAAATGTAGTTGTATAATCTTCCTTCCCATGATATTAGCATATTCATCACAGTTAACAGTATGCCTTTCTTTGTTAAACACTGTAGGAATTAGTTTATAGTCTAAAGACATTCATAGTAAGCACATGTTGAATTAAACAACTCTTACTTAAAATAGGTTTAGTTACATTTTGAGATAATGAAGTGTCTCATGCTTCTGATGAAAGCTTTCTTTTTTTTCTTTCAGACTTTCCTTAGAAGGAGCCATTTTTAAAAGAGAGTGTTTTCTAACTACAGGCCCCTTTTCTCCCACTTGATGTATGCCCACATGTTTTTAAAAGAGCTGTATAATTATGTTTGAGGCCAGATGTTTGAAGAGCTTTGTTTGTTGTTGTTGTTGTTTTTCCGGCTTAAAGTTCATTTATTGATACATTGGACACAATAAAATCACAATTATTATCAAAAAGTTTCCCTCCCATCCCCCTTATTCTCCCATTGGAAATATCTTTAAAATAAAAATTTAAAAAAAGGTGGATACTGGCAAAGTCCCATATTGTGAGGTGAGGGGAGCATTACTAGGGTAGATGGAGGTTGTACTAGGGTAGGAGAGCCATTAACTTTCACAGCATGAAATGGGTCTGTAGAGTTATCAGACTGGATCCCAACACTCAGCTTACAGTGAGGGAGGCTTGGGCTGCTGGTTGGGAGGAGGGAGAGCTGGATTTAGTGCTAGGGACCAGTTTGGGCTGAAGGGTTAGAGGGAAGGCTCTTCATTTGGGACCCATGGGGGGATTCAGTGTTAGCTGGGTCCATAGTCTGAGGGACACCCAGTGCCCCCCACCCCAGAGTTGGGGTTAGAAGAAATCAGTAAAACACTAAGAGAAGATTGATCACTTCCTCTATCAAAACTGGGCCCAGTTAGAATGTTTGTTTTAATTTGCAGACATAAACTCACTTTTCACAGGGCCACACAACTTCCTTGTTGTTGATTGCGAGTTGTTTCTGAAGACAGCTTTTCCCTAGTGATTCCATTTATGCTTGCGCACCAGCTTACTGAATTGGAGGCAAAGCTTTGGTTTTTAAAACTGGTCGGGCCAGTTCAGTCTGCTCAGATCTCCTTTGGGCTTAAAAGTGCTTATAATTTATCCTAATTCACATAAAGAGAAATAGGATTAAAAACCTGTCCTCCCGTAGTCCTCCTGTCACCAGGAATTCCTCTCGAAATTCCTCTGGAATCCTGTGACGGCTCCTTGACTCACTGCAGGGAGTGTCAGGGACATTCTTGTTTTCTCTTTATATGTTCTTACTTGTGTGTAGCGGAAAGATATACAAATACTCTTCAATTCTAGGCAAATATCAATGACTGTAATAGGGAAACTGGAAAAGCTTGATTAAGAGCTCCTCTTAATCATTAATGTCACAATTCTAAGATGAAAAGCATGGCAAATCAAGCAGGGAAATGTTCACATAATAGAGGATTTATTAAGTAAATAAACACTTATTTTAACTTGTTAAACAGAAGAATAGTTTGAAGAATGTTCACAATCATTGGAAAGAAGGCAGTTACAGAACCCACATCCCAATCCAGCCTCCCCCTCGGCCCCCTGGCCCTCCAGTCTCAGGGTTTTCCGTACCCCAAGCTGACACAACACTGTCTCCCGATGGGCCTTCTTACAAGCTATTCCTTCTTTCCCCTTATTTTCTTCACATTTCAGCTTAAATGTTACTTCCTGACCCCTGGGAATAGGTTAGACCTTGTTTGCCTTGACCACTTCTAGTTAGCCTTTAAAACAGTAGTGGGAGGTAATAAGCCAGGTAGTTATCAACTTCATTTTAGAGATGAGAGCTAGAGATAAGGAAATTGAGGCACAGAGCGGTTAGGTGATTTACCCAAGATCACACAACTAGTGAGTGACAGAACTTGATGAAACATCTTCTGATGCTACTATAGCCAGTCTTTTCTTTTTATTTATTTATTTATTTATTTATTTATTTATTTATTTATTTATTTATTTATTTATCTTACAGATGTTTCTCCTTTTCCCCCTATTGACACCCTCCTCCCAATCCCACCACCTCCCAAGGATTATTGTCTGTGTCCTTGTTTACTCATATATGCATATAAATTCTGTGATTTATCTCTTCCCTCCCCCCACAAATTTAGCCACATGACTCTTAACTTTAACAATACTTTCTAAACAATGACTTCTAAACTCCAAACAAATTTAAGGAACTGTTATTTTTTGAATCACTATTTTATAGTTAGGAGCAAAGTATGATATCATAACTGTATAACTGAAATGTAAGTTTCCCAAAGAATAGGAATAGCACAAAGAGATTTGAGAGTCAGTGAATAACTTAAATATGTATTCAAGGTGATTTTGTTTAAAGCACAGAAGAACCCGTTTTATAAATTGGAAGACAGCGAAGTTCTAGAATTAGACCAGGGAAAAATGTACCTCACTTAGCACTGGTCAAAATGTTAGCGGTGAAGTACAGATCCTGCTTTATGTGTCACAGCTTAAGGAAAGAGCAGAGAACTTTGGTGGAGTCAAGGCATTTTACAAAGCTAATTCAATATTATTAGAAATATTATCTGAAATTTGGAAATAGGCAAAAGAGATACCAGGTGATCTTGCAGTACAGTACAAGGCTTGACTTTTATTACTCCACAGGGAAAGAGATTAGCTTGTACATACAGTTTAGTCTCATTATTCCAGGTAATGATGTTCTATCAAGTTGCCATGAACAGTGAATTGGCAAATACTGACCATTGCTTCTGTGGAAACTCTAGGGTTAGGTTCCTGAGATTCTCTGGTCACAACATTTTCATTAGCTGATTGATACATAACTTTGTTTTTACAAAGTGTGTTTCTACTAAAAACTATATATATATTGGGTGGGGCAAAAGTAGTTTTACAGTTGTTCATATGAAAAATAATACAATAATTAATAAATGATAATGCAAGAATAAATTCTTGTTTCACATACTTAGAACTGTAAACTTACTTTGCCCCACCTTGTGTGTGTATTTATGTATTATATACACACATTTATACATATATAAATGAGTAGAAGAATTCATAGATATGGAATCCACAAATAATGAGAATTGACTTTATTTGTCCTGTAGAGATGTAAATAATTTTTTTTTCTTTTTTTTTTTTATCATCCTCACCCGAGGACATTTTTCCATTCTTTGTTCAGATAGAGTGGGAGGGAGAGAGAGGAACAGAGAGAGAGAAAAACATCGATGTGAAAGGGACACATCGAGTGGTCGCCACCCGCACAACCAACCAGGGCCGGGGACAAACTGCAACTGAGGTACATGCCCTTAGCGGGAACCGAACCCGGGTCTCTCCGGACCGCAGGCCGATGCTCTAACTGCTAAGCCAAACCGGCCAGGGCGAGATGTAAATAATTTTTATCCAGTGCAACAGAACCGCATAGATTATGGTGTGTGGCCCTGCTTTAGGGCTAACCAATTTTATCCCTAAGACAGAAATCAATTATATTGCCTATGTAAACATAGTTTCTCAATTGCTCTTTGAATCAGTTTTAATATTCTAATATTCAGTAGAATAAAATCTTTGACATACATTTATTTTTTATTTATCAGTCATTTTTTTCTACAATTTGAAAATTGTACTTTATAAATGTTCAGAGACTAAGACTTTGAAAAAAGATACCCATAAATACTAAATGAGGAGACTGAACTAGAAAAATTCTAAGGTCCTTTCTTTCAGATTTAAATTCTGTAATTTTAAGAGACTACACAGCTTTGAGAAGGAATGGATGAGGACTGATTCAAAATTGTTTAACTTGTATTGATTGTAATAAAATTCGTTAAATATTTTTACTTTAATTAGCATTTTTCTAACTAATCATTACTAGGATACCATCAGAAAAAAAATTCTCTTAAAGTCAAAATGGAAGTAAGATATCTCAATCTACAGAAAGTAGCAAAAGATTAAACTATTATCTGGTAAAAAATAACGAGTTTTCCCAGTCTTAATAATAGAGGTTATAGCCCTGGCTGGTTTGGCTCAGCGGTTAGAGCGTAGGCCTGCGGTCCGGAGAGACCCAGGTTCGGTTCCCGCTAAGGGCGTGTACTTCGGTTGCAAGTTTGTCCCCGGCCCTAGTTGGTCGTGCGGGTGGCAGCCACTCGATGTGTCTCTTCACGTCGATGTTTCTCTCTCTCTCTCCCTCCCACTCTATCTGTACAAAAAATGGAAAAATGTCCTCAGGTGAGGATAAAAAAAAAATAATAATAATAGAGGTTATATATGATATTATGAGTAGCAATTACCTATTTGTCATAGGTTTTCTGTCATTTGTGATTTCAATTGCTTCATCATATAAATCTATACAGTCCCCCATTGAATTAATGAAAGAAATGAAATTATGCAATTGTTTCTTTCTTTTCTTTTCTTTTTTTCTTCCCCCACTTTAATTGCCAGGTAGCTTAGAGTGAAATTTGCAGCTATGCAACTAAATAATAACTATAGTTTTTCAAGATGTGTGCCTTTAGAAGCCTTTCCCTCTTCCTAATCTTATTTATAATTTATACTACTTACTTTTGACCGATATAAATTTATTTATAATATAGTATGTTAATTAATTGCAAATTTACTACTATGTATGTATAATTTTCTTAAACAGATTTTTTATGGCATCCTCCCCCTCTTACTCGCTCAGACGAGAGAGAAGAACGATCATCAGAGGCAAATGCAGTTGCTGAGGCAGCACCAAGAGGCTGCTTCCCATTCAGGAGAGGGTGCTGGGCCTCCTCCTCGTGGTTTTGGGTGCTCCACGTCCAGAGAAACTTCTCTAGTAATGAACTATAGAAATAATCCCTGAAAGTGTAGTCTTATATAATTTTCTCAAGCTTGATTTTTTTAAACTACTATTTCTATTTTACTCCTTTATTCTACATGTCTTTTGTTGTTAGCCATGCAATTCTGGAATCAGAAGGGGGAAAACATTCTTCTCCTTGGTGGAAGGAGGCAGACTACACACAGGAAAATAGACAAATAAAAAAAGAAAATAGATAAATAAAGGGAAGCATTAAACTGTCTTTCAGATAGAAAGAGAATGAGCCATTGCCTTCCTGCAGGCAGAACTATGTCTGTGGCTTCTTATATCTGTGGGCATCATGGTTTATTACCAAGAACCAGGGGTGGCCTTAACAGACAGCTGGCCCCCTAGCTGTGCATTGCTAAAAGAAGGGCTTCAGGCTGAAGACTTCGTATACTTGACATGATAAAGGATAGAAATCATAAAAGGGCTCACTATCTTTTAGGGGAAGAAGGTTAGATACTTTAGTTCTCAATAACTTGACACCCTCAGGACAGAAAAGTCATACCAAAAAAATGAAGAGTTTTCTACCTGCCAGATGTCACTGTAGGGTTCAGAACCAGTCATCTCAAGCTGTGCCTCTGTGACATGAGGGTTTTTTAAAATTAGAGACAAACAGTAATACTCTTTGTGCTCAAGAGAAACTCTGCTGCCACTTAACTACCTAGAAGAATTTTATTTAAGGGCATATTATCAGAGATGACTTTAAAAAATAAAAATTTTTTTAAAAAGGGATCCAAATTGGAAAGGAGGAAGTGAAACTGTCATTATTTGCAGATGACATGCTATTATATATAGAAAACCCTAAAGACTCCATCAAAAATCTACTAGACTTAATAAATGAATTTGGCAAAGTAGCAGGATACAAAATTAATGTCAAGAAATTGACGGCATTCTTATACAACAATGATGAACTCACAGAAAGAGAAACTAAAAAAACAATCCCATTTACCATTATGGCAAAAAAATTAAGATACCTAGGAATAAACTTAACCAAAGAAGTAAAGAATCTATTTGCAGAAAACTACAGGACATTGAAAAAAGAAATAGAGGAAGATATAAAAAAGTGGAAGCACATACCTTGTTCATGGATTGGAAGACTTAACATCATTAAAATGTCCATACTACCCAAAGCAATCTATAGATTCAATGCAATCCCCATCAAAATACCAACGACATATTTCACAGAACTAGAACAAATACTTCAAAAGTTCATTTGGAATCAAAAAAGACCCTGAATAGCCACAGCAATCTTGAAAAAAGACAAAGGTGGGATCACAATACCGAATATCAGGTTATACTACAAAACTACTTTAATCAAAACAGCCTGGTACTGGCACAAGAACAGGCACATAGATCAATGGAATAGAATAGAGAACCCAGAAATTGACCCAAAACATTATGCTCAATTAATACTTGACAAAGGTGGCAAGAGCATACAATGGAATAAAGACAGCCTCTTTAATAAATGGTGTTGGGAAAATTGGACAGCTACATGGAACAAAATGAAACTAGACCCTGAACTTACACCATACACAAGAATAAACTCAAAATGGATAAAAGACTTAAATGTGACTCGTGAATCCATAAAAAACCTAGAAGAAAATGTAGGCAACACAATTTCAGACATCATACACAGCAGAATTTTCACTGATACATCACCTAAGGCAACAAAGGAGAAAATGAATACATGGGACTATATCAAACTCAAAAACTTCTGCACAGCAAAAGAAACAACCATCAAAATGGAGAAGCAACCCAACATATGGGAGAACATCATTGCCAATGATACATCAGATAAGGGGTTAATTTCCAAAATATGTAGAATACCCATACAACTCAACAAAAGCAAGACAAACAACCTGATTTAAAAATGGGCAGAGGACCTAAATAGACACCTCTCTATACAGGACATACAAATGGCCAAGAGACATATGAAGAAATGCTCAGCATCACTAATCATCAGAGAGATGCAAATTAGAACAACAATGAGGTATCACCTCACACCTGTCAGAATGGCCTCCATCAACAAATTATCAAGCAACAAGTGTTGGCGAGGGTGTGGAGAAAAGGGGACTCTAGTACACTGCTGGTGGGAATGCAGACTGGTGCAGCCACTATGGAAAACACTATGGTGTTACCTCAAAATATTAAAAATTGAACTGCCATTTGACCCAGTGATCCCACTTCTAGGAATATACCCTAAGAAGCCTGAAACACCAATCAGTAAGAATATAAGAATATATGTACCCCCATGTTCATAGCAGCACTATTTACGATAGCTAAGATCTGGAAACAGCCCAAGTGTCCAGTAGACGAATGGATACAAAAGCTGTGGTACATATACACAATGGAGTACTATGCAGCTGTAAGAAAGAAAGAGATCTCTTATCCTTTGAGACAACATGGAGGGACCTGGAGAGTGTTATCCTAAGTGAAACAAGCCAAGCAGAGAAAGCCAAGTATCACATGATCTCACTTATTTGTGGAATATAATAAACATAACAGTCTGAGGAACAGGGTAGACCCAGAGACATGGAAGTAGGGTACAGACTGACAATCCTCAGAAGTGGGGGTGGGGGAGGAGGGAAGAAATAAACCACAGAACTTATATGCATGTACGCATAACCGATGGACATGGACAACAAAGCTGGAGATGGGGTGGGGGGAATGGGGAGGAGGGTGTGAATGGGGAAAAAAGGAGAAACATCTGTAACAAAAATTAATTAATTAAAAATAAATAAAATGTCAGAAGACTAAAAAAACAATTTTCTTATAGTTACTTATTTTTAAGTCTTATTTATTGATTTTAGAAAGAAGAAGGAAGGGAGGGAAGGAGAGAGAGAGAGAGAGATTTGTTGTTCCCTTTTTTATGGATTTATTGGTTGCTTTTTGTAGGTGCCCTGACAGGAGATTGAACCCTCAACCTTGGAATATCAGGACGACACTCTAACCAACTAAACTACCCAGCCAGGGCTAGATAACTTTGTTCTTTAAACCTATCTATATGTCAGGGCAAACTTCTATTTACTAAACATCTGCTCTTCTCATCATCCTGCAAAGACCCTCTGAAGCCCAAGGCATCTTACCTTATCCTGAGCTCAGAATGTCTTAGATACTTCCTTTCCCCTTTCTATCTTGAACCTTTCGTGTACGTGGGGTTTCCATGTGTGCGTGTGTATTACATTTGGTTATTTTCTTCTTGCTAATCTGCCTCATGTCTGTTTGATTATTGGACCAGCTGAAAGAACCGTTAGGAGAGAAGAAAGTTTCTTCCTTCCCCATGTTATCCACACTACCACCCTTGCTTCAAAAAGCCTTAGAATAATCCCATACTTTTTCAGAAATATAAGCTATTTCCATTTCAGATTGTGAAATGGAAGATTAACTGCATTGTGATGGCCAGCAGGAGATGTGGGAGTAATTGGTGTTTAATAGCGAGAGGAACTGCAGCCTCAGGGGCTCTGAGGAGATGGAGTGGAAGGAGAGTCTGTCTTTTTTACGGTAAAGTTTTTTTTTTTTTTAATTTCAAAAGTAGGATGTGCTCATATTTAGAACATTTTTGAAAAATTTAGAAAAGTTCACAGAAGAAAATAATAATCACTTGCACAAGAGATACCTATACTAACATTTTATTCTATGTTGGCAACATATGAATGTTTAAACCTGTAGAGAATTTGTGTAAGAATTTATTTGAGCAAAAACTGATGACAATGGCCGGGAAGCAAGGTGTAAAATAATCCAGAGAAGGACAGTTTTGCAGCTCCTTTTATACATTTGGAAGTAAGGAGGGAAGGCAACAAGATTTCGTGCAGGTGGGAGAAAGTCAGGTGGGGAAATCTGTATGATTGGATTACAGGCTAGTTAACAAATTATGGGTTTCTTGATGGTGGTAGCCTCCCAAAGGTCTGAAAAAGAGGATTGCTCTGGCATTTTAAAGAGGTGTTAATCTAGATGCACAAGAACAATGAGCAGGGCTTGTTTAAGGCAAAGAAAATCCTTCTAAATTACAGGCCTGGGGCATGACTACCCAGCCTGATCTGCCCAGTCAGGAATGTGTGGGCAGGTCACCCTGTGAAGTTACTTTCCCTCACTGAGTTCTGTCAGATGTATTACGGAGCCACTTTGTGTTCACAACTGTACTCACATTATTTTAGCAGATGCTACGATGTCTACAAATCAGTTAGAGATGACTGAATAAATGGTACATGCTATGAGCAAGGGAAGAGCAATGTTAAATCTGTGGGAATTTGAGCAGTCATTTCATTAGTGAACACTTCCAAGCGTCAATGAAAGAATGTCCAAACCTGTAGGGAATTTTTATAACAATCTGTTTGTGCCAAATAGAGGATACACCTGGAAGCGAGATCTCAACAGACTGAACTAAATGGTCCCTATAACAGCTGTCAGCAGCTTCTTTTGTGTATTTGAAATCGAGGAGGAATCACAAGGAAGATTACATGAAAGCAAGGAGGGGATTAAATTATAGGATCATCAACAAGATTCTGTACTTTCTTGAGCATGGTTTTGGTTTATTTCAAAGGTGTGTTCATCTACATGTGGAGAAACAATAGACAGGGCTTGCTTAAGGCAAATATACATCTTTTACTAAAGAAGATATATACCTGGGGTGTGACTACTCACCATGACCTGTCTAGTTAGCTTATGATCAGATCACCCTGAGGTTACATCCATAGAACCCCTTTTTTATCCACAGACGTAATAATATATTTTGGTTCTTACACAATATCTTATTGCTGTGAACTTGGACAGTAAACACAAATCCCTCTGAACTTGATGACAGTATCAAGTAGTGGGTGGGGATGTGCATGCTATGAGATAAGGCTGTGCAGGAGACAAATTATTTCCCAGGATCCTCCTAGAGGAGGTCAGGGCCTTGGGAATGAGAGGCTAGTTGATGGTAGAGAGAAGGAAAAATGGACAGTGAGAATTAACAAGACAGAACATGAAAAGCTGTTCAGAGTTATGCACCTGAAAATTGTTCTTTCTGTTAT